AGAACGTTTTCTATCAACGTAATGAGAACGTTCATCAATCACAAAAAACGTCATAAAGACGTTCCAAGAACATTGTTCTAAGAACGTTTTTTATCAACGATATGAGAACTTTCATCAATCACAAATAACGTCATAAAGACGTTCCAAGAACATTGTTCTAAGAACGTTTTCTATCAACGTAATGAGAACGTTCATCAATCACAAATAACGTCATAGAGACGTTCCAAGAACATTGTTCTAAGAACGTTTTCTATCAACGTTATGAGAACGTTCATCAATCACAAAAAACATCATAAAGACGTTCCAAGAACATTGTTCTAAGAACGTTTTCTATCAACGTAATGAGAACGTTCATCAATCACAAAAAACGTCATAAAGACGTTCCAAGAACATTGTTCTAAGAACGTTTTTTTATCAACGATATGAGAACTTTCATCAATCACAAATAACGTCATAAAGACGTTCCAAGAACATTGTTCTAAGAACGTTTTCTATCAACGTAATGAGAACTTTCATCAATCACAAATAACGTTATAAAGACGTTCCAAGAACATTGTTCTAAGAACGTTTTCTCTCAACGTTACAAGAACGTTAATAACGTTATATGAACGTTCCGAAAACATTATTTTAATAACGTTTTGTACTAACATTTACACAACTTTTAAAGAACGTTAGTGAATGTTCTGGGAACGTTCCCTGTTAGCTGGGTAACTCTCATTAGAATGTTAGTAGACTGTTGGTAGACTGTAAGGTTAGGGTTCGGGTTTGTAGAATAAGTTGACATTCAAATTTACTGATAGTCAGTAGAATGTCTGTTGAGGAGCATCAAAATAAAGAGTTAGCAGATATTAAGCAGACAGTCTACTAATACTCTGATGAGGGGTAGTTGACATGTAGTTGAAAAGTTACATATAGTTAGAATGTCTAAAGTGGACCATGAAAATAAAGTGTTACCAAATATTGTACATATTGATCTTTATTCCTACTACTACTACTATAAATATTACAACAAAGGCTTATTGGAGTGCCTCTATACCTACATTTTTGCAAAACTCAAAACAATTTACCTATACATACCAATTCACTGCAGTTTCCAGCAGAAATAAACACTAGGAATTAAAACACCAATCAACTTGTATTCCTTTGCAACACAATGCAGGGGCAGATTATTGATTATTGACTTTTTCTTTCTTCCTTGAACTCCGAACACTTTTACTTTTTAAACTTTTTAAAAATACACTAATGTATTTTGATGTTTGCAACACATTATCATCTCCATTTTGTATGGCTTTTCTGGTGTAGTGAATTTACCATTTGCGATGCAGAGCGCACGGGTACAAGTCCTTTGAAACACGATGAAAGAGCTCAAAGACTTGAAAAAGCAAGCTAGAATAGCATGGTTGCTTCAGCGATGTGTTTTTGTCTCACGCTTGCTTTTGTTAACACCATCGGGTATGTTTAGGGTTTAGTGTCGGTGTATGTTATTTTCAAATGCGAATGAGCATTAGCCTTTTAGCGCCACTCACCGGTCATTTCATTTCTGAACTCCCACGTACAACAACAAATGTAATGGTTGCCTGATTTTCTATAAAACTGAACGTAGCACCAATGCTTTTCCTGTGAGCCTGTGTTGAAATATTAGTATTTGTTCCATGCTATTCACATACTGCAGGACAAATGAAGAACATGGAGTAGTGTGCTTGTGAAGAGGAAATTTTGATTGCAACGAGGAATGCTGAGAGCAGCAGAGGACAGACAATGTCACAAAGCACCAGGACTGAGGGGAGAGAGAAATCTTAATGACTTTTCTGACCCTCAGATGAGAAAGTCTCAGCGGCCTCTGGGAGTCTTGAAGGATTAGACCTGACCACTCCGCAAAAGACAACAAGCCTTTGATACTTCTATTACAGATTATGTGAAGTTCGTGGATCATACCTCATCTGCTCAAGATTTTACAGTGAAAGATTCAAATGTTGTACACATACATTTGTGTATGTTTGGAAAGACACTGAAATGCAGTCTATGTTTGACCTAATCTGAAAAGTAAAGCCTTTAATGTATGCATAACTTCAGAGTTTGTATTTTTTACGAATCCTTATAAGGAAAGGTCGGATCTGAAATTGCTGGAATTTCTGATAGGGCATCGCCACAGGTGACCGAGTTCAATACTCAGACTCTCATTTACAAGTAAATTACCTTTTTAATGGCAAATTTATTTATAAATGGAATCTAGACGGAATTAAAAGTCATTTGCACTCTTTGTATTGATGAATTGAATTATCTTTAAAGCTCAACAAGTATGAAGCCTAACTGAAACACTGCCGAAACAGTGTTTAAAAATCACACCGGATAAACGAGCCCGTTCTCATCCCAAAGCGTAATATATTGACTCTTTTGACAAAGCGTCTATATCCAAGCACATGGCACCCTTTAGCGTCATATGAGACGCAGATATATGGCGCCTCCTAGTGGTCTAACCCTAACACTACCCCAGACCTAAACCTACCCAAAACCGAAGCGTGTTATATTGACGCTAAAGGGTGCCATGTGCGTCTCTATAGGACGCATTGTGTATTATCGTGCAATTTATACGCGAAAATGAGTTTTTACGTGCATATGATACGCAGCTTTCGCGTGCATTTGATACGCAGTTCATTTGCGTGTAATACACACGCACCCCACACCACCAATTCTACCCAAACCTATAATACACACGCACCCCACACCACTACTAAACCTAACCTAACCAACCCATGCGTATCCTATCCACGTAAAAACTCATTTTCGCGTATAAATTACACGATAAACACACTGCGTGCTATAGAGACGCATTTAGTGTGATCGGGTTGTAGAATGAGTTCACTGAGTCAAATAAATGATAAATAAATTGATTTCATAATTACTACGATAAAAACAACCTATGAATTCCATGTACATCTGTAAAGTTTTAGTGTTTATCTAAACGAAAACAAACAAAAAAGGAGTATAGAACCAGGGTTCATGTATGAACACATATGATCACTAATGTCAGTAATATGGCATGATGTGATTTTAAATTCATTTGGGCATTAAATAGTATCCTCTTTATGATGGTTTATTCAATATTAAAACATAAAAAAATATCACAGAAAAAGCAAGTTTATGTGATTTCGGCATGATTATAGTTCTTGTAATTTCATAAATAACTCAAGAAGCACTCAAGTCTCTGCGGCTACAGTATCTTCGCTCTAATCAAAGTATGATTGGTACAAAAGATTCCAGACTGACTATAATAATTATTTATCAACTTGTGGAAAACAGCAGAGCATGTAGGGAAAAAAATGCCACCATGGTTCCGTCGATCTGCTTCTTAAAAAGGACATCTTTGACAGAGAGGGTTGATGACGGATGCCATAGAATATTTATTATGTTTTTGAATGAGCAAAGAATGAATCAGCCTTGAATAGCATCATTCACTGATGAAGGGTTTCGGAGACCTTTCAAATCACAATATGTGGGCTGCACCACAAACTTGAATCCTGCTTGAAGCAGCTACAGAAAAATCATCAAAAATGAGGAAGCTTTCAAGGGAGATGAATGAGAACGGTAAAAAGAAAAGAATGTGTCAGAATCAAAGACCAAAGACTTGGGTGTACATAGGCAATATTAGGTAACTATGCGAACCTAACCTTACCAGAAGTGCTATTTACACTGATAAAGCAAATAGTATAAAAGCTGTGGGAGTCACACACAAAAAAACATCATAAAGTAACACAACCACAAGGAAAACCGAGAGGGTCAGCAGCTGTTGGACTTCTAATGAAATAACCCATAATTTGGTACTAAAGCCTGTACTTTAGAACATGCAGTATACACTACAAAAAGCCTGCTTATTCAGGGGTCATAAAACCTTAACTTATCTCTTGAGGTCTGTGCACTTTATAGTTTTGAGTGTGTCTGAGAACACCCTCTCACTGATTATTTGGGGAAAGAGGTGCCATAAACTGATTTATCAAGAAATCATTGCAAATGTTGAATCAGAAACACATTGCTGATGCCAAATAATGAATGAAAGATGTAGTGTTTCCCCATGGTCACTCTACTTCGGTCAACACTGAGACTCTCAACACTAAATTACAATGAGAAAACAGATCAACGGTTTTGGATTTTACAGGAGGGATGGGGCAAGCCATTAAATGGGTTTTGCATCTGTCAGCTCATGCGATTTTACCCCTTGTTGTGCATGCAGTGATGCTGTGTAGTCTTTAATGGTGTTGCAGTGCCACCCTTGTGAACAGCCAATGAATTACCAAGACTGATAACATTGCAACAATACAAAGGGGGAAGTGACAAATCTCAGCATAACCAAATCATAGTGGAAAACTTTTTTTTTTTTTTTGCTGTACACAAACTTTTCTCAATGTTATGCAGGGGATAATGTACAGTCATTATCGCAAAAATAAACCCCAACAGGGTGATCAAGATAAGTTTTACGTACTATGATGACATCATCAGGCTTATTACACAGCTAATCAGCATATTTATAAATACATGGATGTGAAATATTGAATTGAGCTGAAGTTACATAGCATTGCATGGGCAATGGTCATTATTAAGACCTATCTGACTGCAGATTAACCAAGAACCGAGCACAAGTAAGAAATTAACTGTGTTTTATTTTTAAATAACATTTATAAATTTCTGAGGGGCCCCCTGGACCTGTGGGCCCCAAAACAGTTTCCACCTTTAACCTTAGAGACTGCTCTGCATGTAATTACACTGCAAATTAATCTCGGTAATCTCTTTATTTTACAGTGTCACTGTTACACATGCTATAACTATAAATGATCTATAATTACATCATGCAACTAACTCTAAATCAAACCCCAATCATAATCCTAACCTAAGTAGCATGTAGTTATTACTCAGTACTTAAATGTTTCATTACAATGGACACCTTAACATAAAGTATAACCTTAAACTCTATAAACACTGCAATCATCGCAAAGTTGAATTCTTACCACTTGAAGCGATGTGAATGAAGAGGCGGGCGTCCGAAGCTCTGATGGCAGCGGAGTACTTGTCCTCTTTCCCCGGGACCTGCACTTTCCGCTCGGGCATGAGTCGGACCCTGAGCCGGCCTCCCTCCGCCCCCAGCCACCACTCCAAAATCCGCGTTAGGTCCATTTCCAGGAACACAACCGGCGCGTCCTCGTACACATGCAGTCCTCCACATCCCGTTTTAACCATCTCTTCTCCCACCTCCACCACAACTTGATTGGACTTTCGACTGGCGCTGGTCAAACCTAAATTCAAAACTTTCGGCACGGGACGCTTCAGTCGATACGGGAGCTGTCCAGTGCTGGATCTGTTGAGGTTCATCCCGGCCAACTTTACATCAACCAAACTGGCGATGGTTTTTTGCAACGGAACGCAGCGCATGAGCAAGTTCGCGCGCACCGTGTAACATCCATTAAACGACAGACAGTCTCCGTTAAGCGGGCGCTTTATAAACAGAGCCAAGTAGTAACGTAACAGCGACGGGACGGCGAAATCCACCGAGAGCGTCTTCCTCTTGATCCGAGAGGGGGAGGTCTGGTTGGAGTCCTTTCTGTCGGTGGCGTTGAGGAACGCGGACGTGGGAAAAGTAGTAAGTGCGTCCGCGGTTCTCTGAGAAGCGCACTGCAGCTCGGGAAGAAATGCCGCAGACCAAAGAAAAAAGTAGAGTATCCGTGCGATCATGATTTTAGGCTAAAAAGATCCAATTTTCTGTTTGGTTCTGCTTCACTCCGGCTGGCACCCTCGCGCTCTCCAAATGGGGTGCTGAAACGGGAGACGAATGGAGAGCTATTCGAGTCTACATTTCTTCTCCTTGTGCATTAAGATGTGCTTGCTTTTATCAAAGCTCTTGAGGTTGCTATTTAATTCCTGCATATTAAAGAAGAATAATCCACAAAATAATTCCTTGGTAGGGTCATTAAATCTCACAGAAAGATTCGCCTCTTGTGGAGCTTCTTGGTATGCCTAACAAGTTCTCCAGGGCTGCTCAAAGGCTCCTTGTATCTGCATGCAATACCTCAGAGTCGTTCGGTCAGCAATCCTTTTTTCTTTCTTTTTTTTTTTTTTTTTTTTTTTTTTTTTTTTGTATCTTCAGCAGTCGTATAATAACAGATCCTTACACATTTAACATGTCCACTTTTCGATATGCCAACATATTTACACGACAAACTGCGCGCGTTGAAATCAAACACAATCCATGGAATACTGTTTTTCTGCCAATCATAAACACAATTTTATTTGTATCATATACTGTGACTAAGAATACTTTTCGCTTTTTGGACGTGGTCGATCTAAATCGAGCGGGTCTTACCTGCGCAGCCAGTCAAAACGAGGGAGCCTTTTCAGCGCGAGCTGCTCATTTGAGGCTGCAAATGCCGCGTGCGCGCGAGCCCACTGTGCGCGTGCCACCCCGGCTCTCCGATTTATTTTTTTAATTTTGGGGGGGTTGTGAAACTCACTTCTGCATCTCTTTATGACGTCACCAGCAGCAGGTCGTTAGACGCGAATATGAGCCCCTAAAACTACCGTGATTGTCGACACTCGTCACTGCGCTCGAAACTCATTGAAATGACCGAGATGGCACCTCCTTATGGCGGCATTGCGCCGTAATTAGTTTTTAATGAATATCTGTGTATGACGAGCGTCGCCTCCCAATAATTTAGCTACTCATATAATCATTCACAGCCTCTGTAATTATGTCATTCACGTCACGGAGCGATTGGATCGAACGTCAAAACGCAGACGCACTTTTTTTTGATTTTGCTTTAAAAAAAAAAAAAGATATACACCTGTTATAATCAATTAAAGCCTACTATTACTGTATACTAAATACACAATTGGATCAAAAAGACATTATTGGTTTCTATAATTTCAGTTTGTCACAATCCTGAAAAACTTAATAATTGGACAACAACAAAATATTAGACATTGTTTGTCAAACACAAGAATTGTGAAAGCCAGACAGACAGACAGACAGACGGATGGATGGATGGATAGATAGTAAGGTAAGATTTAATTATTTCCATTGAATAATTATTTGGAATGTTTTCAAATTATGATGGGATAATGTGGATCATCCAGCTTTGCAAAAACCTGCGGATTTCGTGCATGATGTCATTAAAGCAAAAGAGGGGCACACCAACTAGAAAATTGTTAAATGTATGTTTATTTCTCAATTAAAATTCGATTTTAAGATAATATCATTTGTAATAATAAGAAAAAACAGTACCATTGTGAGAAGCATTTTCACACTAGTGGATTCAGACTTTCAGGATTAAGATTAAATATTGGAATATAATCTAAAAAAAAAAAACATGAATGAAAGGACATTTATAACTATGCACATTAACCACTAATTAATTAAGCAGTGTATAACGTAATCCTGTCTGTCAACGTTATTAAAGAAAGTTCTGAGATGATTATGAAGTGTCTAGCGGTTTTGCTCTCCTCCGCTAGATGGGAGTATGTCGCGTTTATTGGTGTGACTGTGCCATCGTGACGAGCTCATTAATGCTCTCATTGCACTGGGATTTAAACAGTCTGCCAGACGGGTGTTATCATTCCCGGAAATAGAGTGACTAATTGCGCGCTATATTCTAATTGTTATGCTATGAAAGAGACAATCCGTTTAATGGTAAGGTTGTTTAATTAAGACAAGGTTACTGTCGAGCATTGCATTGCTGAAATCAGATCTGACGTGTTGGGACTTGCGTCGTGCAACTTTCTGTAAGCCAGTGCATCACAATGATGCGATAAAGATAGAGTCATGTCAGAATCAACAGAATTTACAGTCTTGGCTTCAATTCAGTTGGAAATATTTAACTTTGAGGATCATTAAAAACCTTTCAAATATTAATTATAATAATGCATTAAAGCCAAAGAATGACATTTTATACAATCTCTACAAATGTGGATCAGTGGTTTCGATGTGGATCAGTGGATAATTTTTTTGTGAATTATTCAACCGAATAATTCACTCAAAAAAACATGAAACTTGTGTCATAATTTACTCACCATAATATGCTATATGAATATAATGACCTTTTTAAGAGTTATTGGGAGAAGAGCAGTGTTTGATATTTGAATGAAACAGTACTTTTAGACTGATATTGTCAATGAATCAGCTGATTCAATTTATAAAACAGGCCGGAATGATTTGTTCACAAATCAGATTCTGATCCAATTTGATTCCCGGGTTCAACTCACTGACTCAGTCTGTTTTCCACACAAAGTTGAGTTTGTATGATATGACTTCAGAAGTGTGTGAGTCAAACTACTTTTTTACACTTTTATGTTGATTCTGAATCCCCTTTGAAGCTTGAAAGATATATTCTTCAAAATGAGTCTTTCTGTGTCCCACCGAAGAATGAAAGTCTTGCAGGTTTAGAACATAAGGGTCAGAGTGTATATTTTGATAAACTATTAGGCTTATATCGATAACACTTTATTGTGATGGTCCACTTTATACATTACTTTTGTAACAACGTGTAACTTTGCAACTACTAATGACTGGTAGTTGACATGTTTTGCAAAGTTACTTATAGTTAGTAGAATGTCTAAAAAAAATAAAGTCACAAATAATGCCATTGAAAAACAATGTAATCCTTAAATCTAATTAAACTGTTTCGTGAAAATAATGACTAATTATTAAAACACTTTCTTTAAAGTCCCCCTGTAGTCAATCATTTTATCCCTTAAAACTCATGTTTGATCACCCAAATGACTATTTAAACATTTTGTTTCCTGAGAAAAAAAAATGATTCATGCCTTAAAGTAGCTTGAATGTAACTCTATACCCTTGCTTCATTTAGTATCAATGAATATGCTAATTAGCCCCGCCTCCACTTACTCACGCCAGCTCAGAGATCCACTTGGCCAACTGAGGTAAATGCTGCACAATGGTATAGCTCTTTACAACGTCAGACACAACGGTATTAATATGATTAGCCTTTTGCTTGATAATAATGTGTTGCTGTTACACACACCACCTCCCGTTCGCCACCTCAGACTCAGACAGCTGACAATCATCAGAAACGCTTTGAACATCTCAGAACGTCAGTGGAGAAAGGCATATAGTTCATCATAACATCCTAATATACATCATAGACCCACTATATTGCTAAATCTACCTAAAAAACGGTATTACCGGGCATCTCTCGAGACTCTCCTGCTAGTTCGCCAGTTGATGTGATTGGTTACAAGGTAGTTTGTGACATCAGAAACATCAGCGATTTCAACCCGCGTTTTTGAGATTGTTCTTGGTTCACCAAGAGAAAATACTCAACAATGGTGTTGACATGTTTTAGCTTACCTCAAGGGCATTCAAGATGTAGGTGTCTTTGTTTCCGCAGTAGTTTCAATTTTGATATTTTTAGGTCAAACCGTTCTTGTCTGTCAGTCTGAGGGCGCGGGCACTTCGGTCTGGCAAGCGCCGGAAAGCGCCGGAAGTGATCTCTCGCGCGTGTACGTCACTCATTGTTTACACAGAGATTTCGGAAGTGTTACCTTTCACTGTGAAGATCTAAACATATTTAGATATAAAGGAAAGACGAAGACGATTTCGATACATCAACAGACAACGTTGATTTTTTTCAGAGAGATCACTTCCGGCGCTTTCCGGCGCTTGCGCAGACCGAACCACCGGCGCCGTCAGATCACTTGGACGTGGCTGTGGTTACAAGAGGTAAAAACGATATAAATACTGTTCGTTTTCTCACACAAACCGCTCGTTTCGTGTCTTAGGCCATCAATGTGTACTTACATTTACGAGTCATTAAATCATGTTTAATTTGGACTTCTCTGTGCATGCTCTTTGAGGTGGTGACCATAGACCTGCATTATATGACTGACAGACAAGAACGGTTTGACCTAAAAATATCAAAATTGAAACTTCTGCGGAAACAAAGACACCTACATCTTGGATGCCCTTGAGGTAAGCTAAAACATACCAAAAATGTATTTCAAAGTGAACTATCCGTTTAAGAACTTGATTTTCACCCCAGGGGGACTTTAAGAAAGTCGCTTAGAGGTCATGCAAGGACATTTTCCCAATAAATCACGTAACAACATAAAAATAGTTAAGGGATCAAATATCTTCCCACGCTTGCTTGCTCAAGTTTTCATGTGGTGAGAACAGACAAGTAGGCCTACAGCAGTTATAAATTTACATTGCAATGCGGGATGCCAAATGATATTTCATTTCACCGTGTCCTATTGTATTTCAGTGTCTATGCGTCCATCTCACTGGTTCATTGACTCCCATTACTCATAATATGTCCATGCCTGTGACGTTTCTCCTAAGAGCTGACACTTGCTCCTTGATTTAACACCTATGTGTGCGCATATGAATATACGGGCAGTTTTTCAATCATTTGAAACACATTACCAAGTTGAGTTACATGAGCTTCCCATAAGCATACCGAATGCTTTATGACCCTGCCTGGGGCTTCTCTGTCTCACACACACTCATACACTTCCATGTTTTAGTATCTATCTTACTGAAGCAGAGGAGCTGTTGAATCCGAGCTAAGCATCCGTGCTGTGCAAGGAAATGCTCTCTTTTTGCACTACCCTCTCTGGACCTACATCCACGGAAAATAAAGTCGGGTTGTTTTATTCATATGTGGGGGCCAGTGATAACAGATAGTGTGTTGTAGAAGGGGGATGAATCGGCTTCGTTAATATTCAGCACATCTTTCACAGTAAATCTGAGCTTCTACGCTGTACTCC